ATATCTATATGAAAAATTCAGTTTTCTAACGGGATGTAACGTAAGCCAGACAGGCAGCCAGGGATACATGCAGACATGATGAATAGACCCTTGGGAAGAGCCAGGCAAACAGGCGGGCAGACTGGGATTCACAAAGCATACAAGCAGAGTCCAACTGTACTGCAGCCCAGCCCCCGAGGCTTTTCAAACTCACAGGAGTGGAAAGGTTATGTTAATACTATGCAAAGGCTTTGCTCCTCGTCTGTACCGTTGCATCAAAACATCATACACTGGGTAAACAGCAGGAAAATAAATACAAAGTTACATCTGTAATTTGTCAGAGCAGAGGGAAATACTTTAGCCTTTAATCTGTAAACCCCAACGGATAGAAAGCTGGAAATGTTTTGTACACGTGAAATATCTGAGTAGAGTGGTAGATTACATAAATAGGCTTCTTTTGCTGTCTTTCCTTAAACAGGTATGACAGCGTACAGCCTCAGAGGCAGCAGCTTACACACACAGCAGGTCAGACTCACTCCACCCAGGCCTTATTGGTAGACAAGGAGGTGATCAATAAATTGGCTTAGGGATTAATAATATACTGCAGAGGGGTAGATAAGTACCTGGAAAACATCACCTGGTGTAAAACGTGGCACATTTGTTTCACTGCTGTGCACCTGCAGAAGCTGTTGACAGCCAGCCACACAGAGGGGGCAGAGAGAGGCTCTTAATGCTGCGAGGTGTGGGGACGCAGTGTGCTGAAAAGTTTCGCCTAAAGGCACAAAAACCCACATTTGAAATAGTGTAGGTGCAAAGAAAAGCCATCTTGTCCCTAAAATTGGATACAAACTTGATGCAATTTTTCTTTTTAATTTGTTTTAAATGAATAAATATAGGATTTCATTAGCCACATCTTTAAGGTTTGGAACCGTTAGAGGGCAGAACTACACATTTCTCGACATCGCATTTAAATAACAGCAGCACATCACTTCTCGAGCATAATGTCTGTGATTTAGTAATCCAAATCACACTTACTCTTCCTTTTTTATACAATATATAGATCTTAAAATAAAGAAAATGAGAGACAGAATCAGGGACAGAGGAAGATGAGGTTATTATTGTACCCACAATTATCTAAAATATCAATAATTATTCTCCGAGAGCCATCTGCTCTCAGCTGGCAGGCTCAGCGGAACACACACACTCACAGTATCCTCCTGTGCTTTGCTCTTGTATTTATCAAGGACTTAAAGGACCACCAGGGCGACTCTTAGCTCACAGAAAGCTGTGGCTGAATTAATTCTGCATAATCACAATGAAAGACCTTCAAGGGGTTTTTGTGACTGCGGAAATTGCCGTTTTCACATGTGAACCTGAATATTTCAAGAGAAGTTCAGGAGGACATGCCCGTGAAATCCTCCTGATTTGGTTGTTCACATATGCAACTCACAGTGGGGGACTATCCCTGTCAGACCGACGGGGGGGCAAGGGGTTTCCTGAGGCAAGGCATGAGGAAAATACAACAACATGGAAGTGGTGGACAAACCAACCCACATATACAACACTATCATGAGAATATTTGCCTTTTTATCAATGCTATGTGTAGTTGACAGAAACACAAAATCAACAAAAGAGCATTGAGGGAACACACTGGTGAACATGAAACATAATGCAGATGTTTAATTACATGCACAGATGTTGGAACCGTTGTGTGCATACAGTTTATGGTCGTGTACTGATCGCAGGAACTTTTGGTTTGTGGTGTTCTTGGCGCCCTCTGTGGACAGAGTTGTATATCTTATGTCTCTGCTGATTATGTCCTGTAAACTTGTATTTCGGATGCAGAACAGAAAACAGTCCAATATATCACTCATATCATTGTGAATCTTTTCAGAGGAAATAAACAAATGCTGTTTTTTCAGGGTGCTGTCAATCTCTTTGCCTCACACCTACCCTGCGTCAGCGTTTACAGGCATTAGAATGACTATTAAAAATAACCGTTCTTCATCCTGATGGTCTTGTTTTTTTTTGAAGGTCATTTGAAGGCATCTGTATAAATGTCAGCCTGTTTCAAAACCAGCTAAACATTCCTCACAGTATAGCTTTAAAATATACCTGTATGTATAATTAACTTAAATTTTGACCTTAGATTAACTTCTTAATCAGGACTGTGTGGGCGTATTCAAAGATTTGATTGACAGTTGCTTGGCTGTCATGGTGTTTTTTTTTATTTTTATAAACAGTGCTCCAATAACTTTGTACAATTGAGAAAATCAAATTCAATAATACATGATTTTTGTTGTCATAAAGCCCTTTTTTAAATAGTTTAACTTTAACAGTAGCGTAAAGTGTTTAATCTAAATCTAATAAAATACATATCTACATATCTATCTAATTATTTCCCACATTTAATAATCCAGCATTTATAAGAGACATAAGGGAATTCAGTCTGAAAGTCTGTAAGATATGGAGGTGACAGATGTTGACAATTATTGTAATTATAATGTGTTGCCACATCTGCTGTTCATTAGGCACATTTCAGTAAAGTGTTCTTTGTAGCGACAAACACAATGTGACTAAATGTTCAGGAAATTAAACATTTTGTGATTGTTGTTTATCTTGTGTTGACGAGAAGGCACAAATCACGCTCGCTGACTCACCACATTCGTGTTACACATATTTGCAGTGATGAGGCGTCTCACACATTCAGCCTGACAATGACCCATGCAGCTATCACGGCCTCTGCAACAGTGAAACCAGGGAAGGACCTGCGAGGGAGGCTGGGAGACAGACCGGGGATGTTGGAAGACATCATGGTGGAGAGCCATCATTCATACTCCCAGAGGGCTGGGCTGTCCTGCTGCTAATATCATCTCTCCAGATTTTTAGTCTCAGCATAAATACACCACAGTAACATTATATGGAAATATAAACTGATTTGTATTATTATTACTCCTCAGTGTAGCCGGGTATCATTCAGAGAGAAGCTCTGCAGGTTGGTGAGGTAATTATTTAGTGCAGAGGGACCCATGATATCTCTACCAGACAGGTCAGTATGCTCTCAATGTCGAGCGTCTGTGTGAGTGAAGTGGAAACAGGGTTGACGGAGAATTAAAGACAGACTTTCCCTACCATAAAATAATCTATTTCTAAAATATAAAACTTGTTTATCATGGAGGATTTGATATTGAAGTTACACATTGCCAATAAAAAGTTACAAAGTTATGGAGGTATTATTGTGGCAAACTGATTTGCAAATGAATTACAACTTGTATGTGATGTAAATAATAGTATGCCATTTCCAAAACAAATATGTGTACGGATTTGTGTTCGCATTTGTGGATCTATTTATGCATTCAAAAATCGTTTTTTTTTAAAACAATAATATCGTCTCTGAAAGTTTTTTTTTTTTTAACATGTATTTAGACATCTTTCAACTCAAAAACAGAGGCTGAATGAGATTTATTGTTACTAGAAATAGAAACCTACAGATTAGTCTTAGTATTCATATTGATTCTATGTGGACAGGTCTCTGCAGGTTTGAACATTTGGCCACGTCATTCTTCTTCAAGAAAGATTTGTCATCTTGCAGAAAGTGAGTAAGATGAGGTTTTTCAGGTCCACTCACACATTTTCCGTATGATCTGATCTTGATTCTCATGGACATTAACGTGATGTTTTTATGTCATTCCTGTGTCACTTTGGCTATAAATTAGGACTTTTTAAAACTTCTCAAAGCTTTCAGGATCCACATTTATTTCCTCTGTTCAAATAAGAATGAAAAAGGTTCCTCTACTGGTTAAAAAATGAATTTCCTAAGAAAACATATACCAGGTAAAATATAATCCTCTGTTTTTTGAACGCTTAACATTTAGAGAAACAAGCTTTTAACCTAAAAAGAGCAAAACATTTTGGTTTGTTTCTGCAGTCCATTGTTATCCAGCAGGTACAGAGATCCACATATAGAAACATTTACTGCTCAATAATATGTTAAAGCAGATGATTTATTGTAAAGATGTCATGGCTACTCATGAGTGTGGTATGAATTATATATATTGTTGTGTAGTCATATACTTTTACTATGATGCACTGGAGACTATTCAGAGTAAACCTACTCTAGAGTCTATGAAACAGCACCACCACCTGGGGAAAACCGGTAAATATCAGGTCAAATTCAAGTTAAGTTTCACTTTGCCTTCATTGACTTTGAAAAGGTGTTTGTGCTCTACTACTATGTTTCCTACAGAGCCTTGCGGAAAATATGTCATGTACTACACACAGTTACATTTCAATAAAATGTCCATGACGATCAAGACTTTAAGCTATAAATTCATCCAGAGATTCTGAAGAAATAGCATTTGGATCAACAACAAAGTGTAAGTTTTAACTTATCAAAAGAATGTTTGACAGCTCAAGAGTAGCTTTTATTTTTTGCAAGAACATAAACTTCAGCTTCAGCCACCAGGAGACATATTTACAGTATTTTCCCATGAGAAGAATGACTGCCAGTTGTTTTGAGATCAACTTTTTGTCATTCTTGGAATAACAGAGCTGGTATTCCCATTATGTGATTTTTCTTTTTTTTTTTTAGTGGGATAACCCTCTGGTGATCAAACAAAAAAATAAAAGTTTGTTACTTTGTAAGGCCAGACCACAACATGCTTCAAGTCAAGCAGTTTTCAGTGCTTTTGCAACTCCAGGGATAGATAAATATATGCTCTCGGGATAGATCGATGTTGAAAGCAAGAAAACTACCGGTCATGACTTGTAACAGGGGAAATGGAGGAATTAAGAAATGTTTGGATGATGACATCCAGCGGTCTTCATGTTAAAGCAACACAGGTCATCTGAAAGTTGTTTGAAAAGCAGTATACTTATTTAAAGTGAGTAACGTATGCAGATTTGGTAAATATTTAGGTTTTTAGGCCTTTATTGTAAACATAACTGATAATTGAAAATAGTTTACTAGAGGACATTTTACAAACCCCCTCCCCCCCCCCTAAAGAAATGCAGAAAGGCAATTTTCAAATTACAATGATCATTTATTTTTGTATAAATACATATAAAAATTCAAAATAAACATTTCATTTCACATAGTTACAGTATTATTGGTATAAAGGGATTTGAGTCGTGACAAGCTCGATCCTGTGTCCTCAGTCACGTTCACTTTTCACTTTAAGATCATGGTAACTGAATCTAAAACTGCTCCAGACCAATACACTGCCCGACTCACGCCGTCTGAAGACGCTTCAACGCACAAAGTTAAATACTGAAACGTGGGCAAGTAAGGCTGCTTATGTTTGTGTCTGACTAAAAAAAAAAAAAAAAAAAAAGCCATACAAATCATGCCGTTCTGTTAAATACAGTGTAATTCACCTCAGTAAGGAAGTAGTTCAACTCCAACCATGTTCTGGGTTCTACAAGACACACAGTGGTGCATTAGCCCTCCTCTCCAGCATCACCGTCACACCAGTGCTTCATAGGAGACTGTGTTGACTTAACGGTATGAAGACCGTCCTTCACACCAAATCTCTGCACCATCAGCAGTGGCTGTGACTCAAGCCATAGAGGAGAGGACATGGATATGTGATCACCCTGTTCTGCATGCACACAACCTTTTAACAATGACCTAAACTACAGGGCATTTGTACCAACAATTTAAGGTCAAATTAAATAAACTCATCAGTGCATATTTCTTAAAAACCTAAACTGGATTTCCCAAAAGTCTTCTGAGGAGGAACATCAAGTCACAAAAGGTAAAAACTGATGCGTGTTAGAAGTGTTTAGAGGAGGCTCAGTATGACTGGGAGGCTGAGGGTCCTACACTACAGTCTTACAGGTGAAGCTATGGAATCAAAGAGTAGTGAGAGTCCATTTGAAACATATTTTTAAACCACTTTTTTTTTTTGTTTATGATTAGGAGAGTTATTGGAAACTTCCATAGCTGAACCCCAACAGGCTTTATCTTCAGTGTAAACAAAAAAGAACAAGATTAAAAACCCTTCAGCTTGGGTCAGTAAACCTCTTTAAATATAGCTTTGGTCATAAGTTAAAGATTGTCTTTTGCAATAGCGAGTAGAAATGCAATTTAAGTCCAAACAAATTGGGATTGAATCTCAGACTCTGCTGTGGTTTTCTTGCGTAAATGAGGTCAACCCTGAAACCCCTCGATGATCCGGCTCCTGCGTCACTCTTCTTTGTCATGATTGGCGTTCCCATTCATGACTCCGTTGGAGTGGTGTGCCCATGTCTGGTTCTGCAGCACTTTAGGCAGCCTCTTTCCCTTGGTGTAGGCGTGGTACCAGAAGTTGAGGAAGAGGAACAGGAAAATCAGGCCGTATGTACCAATGATGTAGATGAAGACAGGGAACTGGTAGGGGCAGTCCTTCAGGAAGAAATACTGGGAAATGTGGCTGGTCACCATGACAAACTGGATCTGGGGAGCGAGGAAGGAAGGGTAAATATGAATCATTTAAGTAGACTAGAAGAGCCCAGGGGCACGGCACTTTTAGAATAAATAGTAAGACTTTAATTAAATTTCTTTGTTTGGGTTTTAAAGGTTCTAAAGTTTCGCGTTTGTGCCTTTCCCATTTCATGAGGGAGTCAACCACTTTGACTACCATTATCTTGAGTTTAGAAAGCCGTTACGCATATCTTCCATGTCACCTAATAATTATCGTTCGCCCGTGCCTGTATTGAACAATTCCCTGTATTGAAAAAAGGGCAGATTCTTTGAACTTGCAGTTTTCTCTCTCGCTGGCTGTTTGTAAAATGCAAATGTAATACCCTGCTGTAAAAGCTGTTGCCACGTGAACAGGCAAATCTCAGTAGAAGGGCCATCAACAAGATAATAAGACCTCTCAAGTGCAAATACTTTAAATGTATTTAGAACCTTTGGTATACAAAGAAAAGAGCCTTGTGTGTAAAACTAAACCTACCAGCTGGATGGTTGTGAGATATTTCTTCCACCAAAGGAACTTCTGGTAGCTGGGGCCCAAAGCAGTCAAGCCGTAGTACGAGTACATGATGACATGGACGATGCAGTTCAGCAGGGCGTGGAAGGTTCCCAAACCACCTGAAAAGTTAAGAGTATTAAATAACATTACAAAGCGCCAAGTAACTGTCATGGAAAATGTTGCATAACAAAATGACAAGGAAGAACACATACCTGCTGCAAACCGAACTCCAAACCACCAGGTGAAGGGCATGATGGAGTGATGGTAGACATGAAGAAATGTCACCTGGCTGTTTTTCTTTCTCAGGACGAAGAAGATCTGCCAAGAGACACAAGTAAAGCCAGTCAAGATCAGCAGAACGGGGGATAGAGGAAGAAAAAGTTAAATTTTTTTTAAGACTCATGTTACTTACTGTGTCCAACATCTCAATGAACTTGGAGAAGTAATACAGCCAGCATGTTGCTGCCATCTAGAGGAGGAAAAGGAATTTTAGCACAGGTTCTAAAATGCACACACACACACACACACACACTTTTAAATGCATCAAGATCCTGCAGTACATGCTAATGTGTACCAAGTGACTTACCCTAACAGCCTGCGGCGAATTGGAGTAGTCGACCAGGTCGCAGCGGAAGTTGTATCCTGTTCCCCATCCTGACATGACAAACTGTGGACAAATGTGCAAAATTATGTTAATGACAAGTTATAGATTGGGGAAAAGGCACATTTTCAAAAACCTTTTGAAAATAAATCTGCCAAAATTTATCACTTTAGAAGTGAATTCTGTTTATCTTGAAGGGCTCTCAAAATTCAAGCTAGGTTATGAAATGGAACATTAATATTGATGAGTCTTCACAGCAACAAGGTCAAAGAGAAGATTTACTTTACAATACTTTTTTATAACAGCACACTGTTGAAACACAGCCTCCACATTTTCACAGGAAAAATTCTGGACCAGTGATATATTATTTTACAGACAAAAGAGCAGAATGAGGTTTGTGTGTGGGGGGGGGCAAAAAAACAAATAAGTTGAAGCTCCTGTGAGGAACTTTTGGTTTGACTGCCACCGAAGTCACATCTTGTAAAGTGTTAATTCACAGTTATTCATACCCTCTCATTTTACTTGTCACCATCAAACACAAGTTTGATTCCCTTTTTTCCTCTGTCTGCCCCAGTTCAGTTCAATTACAATAAACTGCATGCAAAGTCTTGCACACCATTTAAATTGCATAAAAACATTGCCAATGTATTTGTGCAATTTAGACAGAGCTACCTTCTTGGCTCACAGTATTTTATAAAGAGACATATACGCTTAACTTTTCCCATCTTTATGAGACGCCAAAAGGACTGGAGAAACCTCAGTAATCAAATCTGAACAGACCACTATTGTTTCTCTCTTTTGCTCCTGGTGGCTTTTTACAATTTCCCCAAAAAAATAAAATAATAATCCAATCCTCCCTTGCAATATTAGCATTTCATGTAAAGTACATAACGAAGAGTGTTGAAACATGAAACAAAACGACATGTTGACAAGACAGTCGCTTGTGAAGACTCAGTCACGCCGGATGTTATTCATTTCACAGTGAACACTTTTAAGAGAGTACACCTGTCGAGCTGGTTTACCCTTAGACCAACAGTCAAGTTAAAAAAATAAAACAAGTCCATGAGCATGCACGTTTCACAACACTGCCTGTGGAATGTGTCATGGCAGCTTTTCTTTGACAATTAACCCAACAAGGAAACAAATACTCTTCACTCAGTTATGGGCAGGTGGCATGCAAAAGTCTGAAGCAAACCTTTGTCACCAATGCAACATATCACTCACCTCATAGGACATGTAGACCGAGAGAGCCACAATACCAAAATTGTACACGATGAGAATCCCTTTGAGGTCGAAGGCTTTGCGGTTCTCCATAATCCGTGGCCCCAAGCATGTCACGAAGTAAATGTATGCCACGATGACGATCGTTTGGGGGACAGGTGACGACATGAGGGGCCAGTTCTCTGTCCGCGAGTCTTAAGGAGGAAAATGTAACGTTTTAAAATCACAACCATGACAAGGAGTCATTTTGAATGCTTCTTCTTTTCTTTGAGTGTTTCAAGACTCACCTGCGTTTTGGATGAACTCTTCATATATGAGGGCAGCCGATGACTTTATACGATCAAATTCCATTTTGGACTAGAGCCGTTCACCTAGAAGGTAAACGCATTAGGTACAGGTTAAGAAGTCAGCTCGGAACCACTAGAATTTGGATAAGAAGCCATGCAGATTCTATGATTCAGCCAAGTTTGCTCACATATTCAATGGGTGATTAAAAACACTGAATTTGGAAAGTGGAAACAGACTGAAAGCAAACTTTTTGTTTGACAACTTTAGATCAGACTAAAGGCCACTAGTTCCTGTTTTTCTTTATAGTCACCCAGCTTCTGAACATTACACAACAGGCACTCTTTAAAAAATAGCTGAAGAGCCCCCGACATAAAGTTGTGTTTCAATGCCACGTTTTAAAAAAACAAACCAAACAATCACTGTGTACTTTGTATATTGTTGACTTGACACTAAAGCTACTACTTTAATGATCAGTAGTATCATAGGTACAGACGCTTAAAAAAATAAGTCAGAATGAGTCATCAAAAGCTGCCGCACCTGATTGAGCCCTGTCTTAATTGCATTATACATCTGTAATGTTTTTGTACTGAAGTGTATGTAGTATTTTTGTTGCAGTGGAAATGAAACTTAGATCTTTGTACTAGAATCTTGACATCCGTAATCCACTGCAGAAATAATTTGAAGTTACACTTATTATTATTATTACTTCAGTGCCATTGCTGAAATTGGACTGTGGAGGAGAAAAGGGTCACTCGGGCACTCTTTGAGCATGGCAAACAAAGCCAAGAGTGTCTGAGGAGTACAATGAGTAGCAGTCAGTGTGTCCCACTGTTGTTAGAGAGAGAACAACAGAAGGGGGGGAGGGGGATCTATTCAAGAAACATTCATAGTTGTACTGGGAAAAAGGCCATATTTTAAACACTTGTGCATCACTAATAAACATGGGATACCAAATATGAAATCTGAGAAGCTTTAACCACTGACAAAAAGTGCAGGAGTTTGCAGAGAACACTTAAGTCTTTTTAAATAAACTTCATAATGTCACAGAAGGGTGAAAGGACCATTTTAAAAACTGTGGTTTACAGTTTAATCACATTGTCAAGGTGACAGTAAGTTGCCATTTTTCAAAACAGAAGGCAAAAGGGACACATTTTCCCAGTGGAGAAGACATTGAAAATAGGCGATCCAATGGATTGTAGTCATTTGTACTTTATAAAAAAAGACCTGTAACCGGTTTCAATGTCTGGACATGGTGCCATGAATGGCAGAGTTGCATCATTGATATTGGTTTCAGGAGGTGAAAGCTCACAATCAGCCAGACTGTCTGGTTTATGAAACGTGCCTGTACTATAGAAATACCACAAAGGGGAACCTCTCGGAGACTTCCCCACACAAACCAGATGTTTACGCATATGACATTCTGGTTAAAGTGTCTGGAAAGAAGTATTCCCATTTGATAGGAATTGGGTAAACTCAACGAATTTAACACACACATCAAGATGTAGTGTAGCCTACCCTACTGTACAAAGGACGTAACCCTACATGACAGGTTTTCTAGGCGTGTCTGGCTGCAGGATGAAGAGGTGAAGTTAAGTGAAATGACGGAGCCTGCGCACTAATGACGACATGACAAGCTTGGACTTGCCAATTAACGATTCACGTTATAGCGGGGGATATTGATGTCAAGGCTGATACTCCCGTGGTGAAACCTGCGCCATTTATAGCTGTCTACAATGTAAGCAGCCCATTTACTTTACAATTAATTCAAGAACTTAAACTGGTCAAGTTATTATCATCCATGTTTGCAGATGCTGTTTGAGGTTATGGGTCTTGTTTAACGCTCACTTTGTAAAGATCACGTTATTGTGGACTATAAAATCCCGGTTAGTTTGACTGTAAAGGCCCTAAAATAAGATTTGACTATCTTACTTTGGAGCCCCCATATCAGTTTTTCTTTCCCACACTTGTATCACTCCTCAACTAGGGGCTGAGTTGATGAGACACAGGTGACGCAATTGATGAAAAACAAGTTCAACAGGTACCACCAGGCTCACAGTGATGAGAAGTGTTTCAGTAATCACAGGCACGCTTTCACGTCGAGGCGCCCGTGTTCTCACATTAATGTCGACAAACTTCTTATTTGTGAGTTTGCTTATCATTTTACTGAAATACATGCAATTTAAAAGTCTTTTTACCAACCTTTTTTTTGCTGCTACCGCTGATAATCAATGAAACCCCTCTTGTTCCGGAAACGCTTTGTATCAAATCCCCCGGCTCACCTGCCGTTCCACTTTAACAGGTGTGAGTCCAACTGCTTACGAGCTGATAGTGCGCGCTCATCAAGACTTATGGAGGCCGCCGGGGGGCGGGATCTGCGCTGAAACCACAACTCCTTGTTCTCTGATTGGCCAGTTTTTGCCCGACAATGCTTGAAGTTTCAATGCTTGACTGATGCCTCATCGGAAAAATGCAAAGATTTCGCAACTATGAAGGACATCTCTGCTGGCAGACAATAACTATTTGGTTTCATTAGACAAAAAAAAAGGGCAGGGCAACAAGTGCAGTTTTTTTTTCCCCAAACAAACTCAATAAATCCACAGGTAGATTACTCAGGTAGGTGAAAATGTGAGTTTGAGCTTTTTTATTGTCAGAGAAAAGATCAGAACAATACAAGACACTTCAGGTTACATGGAAACAGCGAGCTGACTAGTTCATTATAAGATCAGATGAACAGACACATTATTCTGCATTATTATAGTGTCCATACTCATTCTAGCATCCTTAGTGCAATACGATATTGTTATTGATAAGAACTTTGAGGGGACTTCTGAAGCCCCAATTCAGGTTCGAGAGTTCCCATGGTAACAAAAACATTATGTAACACTGTGATGGGCTTGGACTGAGGGAAAGGTTTCAGTTTTACTCCTCGCTAGTTTCAGGCAGGACTGACAACAGAGCTTTCTAAAGAGATGTTAATTTAGAATAGAGATGTTTGCTTAGCAAAGAATGACAACAACACAATGTGCGTTTCTGAGAGCCTGGTTACTCCCATGTGTGGAAGTCTCTCCTCCACTCAGCTGCAGAAACACTGTTTAATACGCTAACACATATTTGTCTAAACTCCTTTAAATGTCCCTTTAACCAAAACCTCGAGGACATTTTCAAGTGTTCTGAGCGTCAGCATTATAACAGATGTGTCAGTGCTAATAACGTGTCTGTATACCCTTTGTATCTTATGGTCTTCTTGCTTTCCTTATTTGACTAACGTATATAGATCCATGTCATCCCCCAACTTCATAATCTTAAAGAAGATAATGTTTATTTGTCTCCAATATGTTTGATGACTAAGAACACTATCCATTCCTGTGCATGGGAACTAAACAGACATTGTTAGGATGCTTAAAAGGACAGCCCAAAAAACATGCGCCTGTGCCATGTTTATGAGCATTTGACCCAGCTGTCCAACCATAAAAGTTTTTTTTTTTAAAAAGCAACTATCTACACCCCAAAGAATTGAACGCACAGACATCATTTTCAAAACCTTTGGCAGAAACCCCTTGTGGTTACCATGAATTATTAAAGAATACAAAATTGTTCTGAAACAAGTTATGAAGAGTGTTGAAACATGAAATTTGATATCATAGTCGTGACAATGCTGGAATTGTATTCAATGAAACAACAAAACAACAACAACAATTTATTTTTATATCAAAAGTACAAAAAGAAACATTATTCATAAAACAATTATTTACACATTTAATTTTAAGGCCGTCATCTCTGTCTGCAAGATGAAACAGGAGAGCTTTCCTACAGGTGTCCTCGACCTGTCGTTTTACACAAAGTGAAGCATGTGTTTTTCATTTACATGCTCAAACACCTGCATGTGCATTTTATCAACACATGCAAAAACACCGTCATTAATCTTCATCGCTGCTCCATGCATCCTGAAAGGCAGGGTTCACGAGGGCTGTTCTGCCGCACCCTGTAAGGAATCAAAAACATGAAGGTTTGTTACGAAGTGTGAATTAATAAACTCTTCTTCAAATACAAATCCAACAGGTAGAACAACCATTTACAGTGTGGGTAAACAAGGTAACCAGACATCCTTGTCAAATGTAGATGACAGGAATTTTCATGACTGATCAAAACTACTGCCGAGTTCACTAGATTAAATAAGCCGACTTGTTAAACTGGAATCCGGCGAGTGAGGGGGAATCTGCCTGTGACACACGGAGCATTACTACAAGCATGACAGAGTTGTCACGACAAAGCTGGAGGGGGTGTTGCTCCTGTATTTGAAGTTATCTCACTGTGAAACCGTGTTACGCTGAGGTGTTTTTTTGTTTTTCTATTCCTGAGATGAGATCGCTCGTCTATGATCACATTTCTGCCACGGAGACGATGAAGACAATCAAAGTTTCATCTCCTTGAATTCTTAGCCTGGAGCTTTGAATACAAAATAATGATTTAAAATATGCCTGCACTATATGACAATAATGTGGTTAATGTTGCTCAATTACCTAATGATATAAGAGTGGGATAAACAAAAAAAATGAAAGAGTGCATATTAGCTACAACTCACAGTCTCTTTGTCTATCTGCTGATCACCTTTTACACATCCCTCTTGAATCCAACATAAATCCAAAAAGCAGTTTTTAATTGGCACTAATAAACTAATTAATACTTGTATTATTTTATTGGACTTGTACCTTATTTGCACTGTCCGACTCTTCTTCCACATCTGAGGCACGAAGCACAGGAACCCACGCCAGGATGTTACAGTCTTTCCCTCCGCTGTACAGCTCCTGCAGAAGAAGCAAACAAGGACACCTCAGTTCTGACTCAAAGAAAAATCAAATCAGCATAAGCTTCACCTTGAGGCAAATACAAAAAACAGTAGGGCAAACCAGGTGAATAAAAAGTATTTCAGGGAACAAGTGTAAAACCATTCACCAAACTCAAAGTCACAGGACACGTTCTCTATGTTCTGAGGTTGTTTAATGTTATTACATCAGATCAGAGGCCACACACAAAAATTTAAAAAGAAATGAAAAAAGAAAAAGAAAAAGTGAAAAACATTCTCAAGACTAGACGTCTTGAACTCTGCCGGGTGACAAGCTGCAGGACCACATTCTTATGTTATACATGTAAAACCCATGTTTGGCAGCGGAAGTAAACAACTCAATAACTAAGACCGTGGGATGAACATGCCATTGATACCATCCCTAGTATGGTTAAAGGTGTGAGTATTGTGATAACTATGTACAGCTAGTGCAAAGATAAGAAATGATTGAGATGTTTCCCAGCACATTAAAACAGATAAGTGTCAAATGTTCTAAACCTGAGCGATGTGTAATAAATCCAGATAATGTTGTGTTTCACCTGAGAATGTTATCATATCCTCTTTAACATCCTCTAGTTCAATTTCAGAGGAAACCCCAGAAAATATGTCAGCGACGAGCAGCCATCATCCAATGTTGAAACGGGGTTACACTCACGACAACACGAGATAATACGATGTATGTGGTATAAAACGGGATAAAAAGCCTACCTACAAACAAATCAACAAACACACATACGGCCATTGTACTGAACTGTTAAAACTGAGTGTTTTATTCTGAAAAAAAAGACAGATTTTTTAATGCTGTTTCAGTGTCTAACTTCCCGTCCCGCTTGTTATTTTCTGTGCTAAATTGATACGTTGTGCTCTTGTGTAAGAGTAATTCATACATTTGCACAATAAAAGTCAAGGCTGAGTGACAGATGGATAAAATATTAAATATAAATATTTGCTTTGGTTTGATATAACATCTGATCAGTTGCAAAATAAGTGATTTTATGTGTCCACTGTAAATTCAGGGATGTTAGGCCTCATAAAAATCTGATTGCTCATATAAAATAATAAAATATGGGAAGAATAATAGTTGGATTGGCATAGAAGAAAAATAGATAGAGATGGATAGAGATGTGTCGCGTGTATTTTCTTTGATCAGGTCCTGCAAACTTTTCAGCTACATTTATGGATATTGGCAGTTCTTGTACAGAGCTTGTTGGAAGAAGCCAAAAAATGCTGGTCTTCGACTGCAAGGAAACGGAAGTTTTAGATATTGTTTTAGGAATGCTACTTAGTTTTTTTTGCACCATCACATCCAAGTCCAACTGGTTCTTTCTGAGAGTTTACTAAGAGGGCACTGTTTTTGTACTTTGAGAGTGAAACTACTCCTGGATGACTTCTTAGAGTCACAGTTGATACTGTTGAGAGGATAAGAGCAGTGAGTGAGATCACACAGACAACAGGTCTGTATTTGCATAAACAGTAGCTCAGTATAGCTCGGGAAATATTGACCTAACCACCATATCTATCTGGATGGAAGTGGCTCATTGGAGGCTGCCATGGTGATTGCAAATTTCTAATCGGTGACATCAGTCCAAACACAAAAAGGGCTGAAGAACTCAAACTAAAGCTGAAAGACAGAAACTGAGCTCTCATTATGTAATCTAGGTTATAGATGGAAATACACACGAAGGAAACGTTCGGTGTTCCTGCCAGATGCAGGAAACATTCACCACCTGGGGCTTTGTCTCTCACCTGGTAGTCTGGGTGGAACTCGCAGCAGTCGACGTTGTTGTAGTGACCCCTCAGCATGGTGACCAGCTGTCCTGTGTGGAGAGCGTACACGGCTACCGAGCTGCCGCACGGCACAAACACGAACTCGGGGCTGCAGCCGCGCGACACAGTGAACTGAAGCCTCTTACGGCTCTCGTTGCAGACCTTCCCATAATTGACCTGTGAGGTGAACAGAGAGGGCAACACAAGGTTCAGCTCGTGTGCGTAAATGTCAGCGTGTAGAGTTCCTAAAAGGCTTAATAATTTAAAGCTCCTGTGAGGAGGTTTCAGCTGCTTATGAAAAAGAAATTCATTTTGATACGTCTTTATGACCTACAAAAACAAACCAGACCATCAGGAATAAAACCGTGTTGTGTTTGACATGTTGAGTTGCTGGGGATAGAACACCAAAACAAAATCCCCTTATACCAAGAACATAACATAGAATTCAACAACTGCAGATCTAGAAGACTTAAATTAAAGTTTTGAAGTGCCCTGTGGAGTTTTCTTGTAAGCAAACAAAAGCTGTGTTAACATTGAGCTTTAATCAATGCACTCCTTTTTTTTTTTTTTTTTTATATCTCTGTTTACTTCCTCTGAAGTCCTTTGTCACCCTGTTCAGAAAAATGGTTTCATACATTTAATTGGTTAGAGTTATTTATTTTTCTCACAAAATCTCCAAACTAATATTTTATTATTGTTTTATAACTGTGTTTTACTATCGTCTAAACCGATGTTAGATCACAATAGAAACCATTTTCAGGACTTTGTATTGTAGAACCAGCACCTGCATGTTCGTCCACACATTCATATTTCCATAAAAGACAAAACGGGGAAATAACAGATGAAAATAAGTTTCAACTGAGCTCAAAAGCCCAGACAGGAAACAAAGGGCCTTTCATTTCGACAAAGACTAATATTTCAGGACCTGTGGTTATCATGAAATCAAGACAAACAGGTACAGACGAGGAAACTACTTCACTTAAAAATGCTGAATCCCTTATGGTGAGCCAGGTTTGATTTGTGCAATGTATTCTTATATCACTTTATTTAAAGGCAGAAACTTACACTACCTCATCCCCAATCCAACTCTGATCTTTGCCCAGGAGGGACTCCCACCCATGAGTCACTAGTTGTTTCACGCTACAGTCTGAAGATAGAAACATGTCCACCATGGCAACAGCAGCGGAGCAGGAAATTAGAACGGCGGACTGAGTGAGAGCAAGTGAGAAAACAGCAAAGCTCTCCTAAGCTTTAGGATAAGGTTATGTTTTTTTTTTTGTATCGTGGGGTTGGATAAATCATTTTCCCTTATAATGTGGAGACACTTTAAAGGAAAGTTTCTGTTGCCTGGTTGGTTTGGTCTTGGCCCAAACCTTGATTCAGAGGAATCCCAGTGAGCGACTCCAGTCAACTCTTTAACTGCCAAAACAAATATTGTCAAGGAGGCCTTTTCATAAATGCAGGTATTTAAGAGCAGCCTGCCCTTGATATCTTCCCTCTCTCCTGTGTCACAGCATGAGATCAGCTGCAGAAATCACAGTGCAGTGTTGACAAAATATCCATCATTTGGAAAACATGAAGCAGCAGAGGGAGTATGTTAATTTTAAAATGATTTATTCTACCTAAAAGAGATAAAGGGAGGAAAGTCCAGCGTGCCAGATCATCTTTAATTCTGCGGATTAAAACCAAAAAAATCGGCTTTATAAAGACCAGAGAAGGATGGAGTATTATAAACGTATATACCTATATTAACAAAACCAGAAGGGGGCCATCGTAAAGGGGCGGAGCTATCTGATGTTCAAAGGTTATTAAGAGCTAAGGGATAGCCTCTGATTTTGTATAGTTGATTTCATAGCCTGCGAACCGCCCGAAAGTTTTAATGATCTCAATAACTCTAGAGATGGAGACTTCAGAGATGCTTCAGAATAACAAAACGTCATCGGCGTAGAGAGAAGCACATTAGCTGAATTTCATCTGTAGTCCTAAGTACTGAGATAAAAAAATATACAATTTTACAATTTCAAGACATCTCAGACTGAAGCTCTTGTCCATTTTTAACTTGGTTCAAAATGTTTTCATTCAGGTAAGTTTGACAAAATGTCCCAGATATTTAAATCAGGTTCTCATGTTCATGTTCATACAGCAGGCTTGGTTCAACTTCCAAATCCATATGAATGGTGGGTGACAACATGTAGTAAAAGGAAGAGCAGGGATCAGTGCTTGGTATCCTGTCCCACTTAAAACTTGCACAGCAGCATTCTGCATAAGCAGCAGGGCCTTTACAGCCTTTAGGTAGCCCAAAGGACAAGAAATCACACTGACACCTAATCTGAGAGTAATGGCAGTGTACTTGAGCTTTTAGGAATGTGGTAATCAATGTTTACACAAGCAGTGCTTAATTGTTTCTGACTTTCTGGGCAGATACAACAGGCGAGAATGAGTTATTTTACTCTCATTCATTTCAGGAAGTTGATATACTGAACACATACAATTGAGAGACTCAAAGCAGTGGCCTGTTTCACCAGGTATGTGCACGTTCTGTCTTAAGTCTGCCTGTGAAGTTGAGACTAAAACATGCGCTCAAACTTGTTAGGTTCTGACTGAACTTGTGTCATTGTTTGGTTGCACCACTGAGATGTAAGGTTCATATTTACTAGTAGGTAGAGCGTGACATCAAAACCAACCAATATTGTCCCAGATATGACACTTTCACTTCAGTTTAAAGCATTTTCTAATGCACTGTTTGTTCCAGTAAATCAACAAATAACTTTTTCAACAATTCATATGTAGTTTGATTTTTATCCCCCAGTTAATTGTAGAATTGTAGTTACGACCGCAACCTTCCTGGTGTCTAAGTGAGTGAAACGCCCCCCCCCCACACACACACACTCTTACTTATGACCACATAAGAACAGTTTTCCCAAGTTTATAAAAAACAAACCTGAAAAGAATCATCAGGACATGGGGAGTATTCATTCAAATGTTGCTCCCTGCCTTCACTGATCTTGCAGACCCTTTTCATTTGAATTGACCAAAGTGCTAATCCAGAGAGGCTCACTCTCCTCTCACAAACACATTCACACAATCCTCCTTACCAGTGTGTTTTCCCCAGTGGCACTATTCCATAGTCGCATCCTGTCATCAGTCCCCGTGGTGAGAAGATAGAGGCCATCTCCACTAAAGCACAGGCCGTTCACTCTGCCATTATGAGCTGTGTTCACTGGTAAAACACACGGAGGACAAGGTTACAATGTGCTTGTTAAGAACTAACAGTGCATACTTTCTCTCATACTTATCTACGGCGGTGCTTTTAGGGCATTTTCTGTCAAACCCCTTGTCGCCTATCATTTCACCAAGCAGCTGAGGAAGACTGGTTTCCTTTAACTAGCATTTGGCACATGCAAGAAAAACAGCTACTGCATGTGCACAATGTTAACCTCTCCTCCACATAGACATGCTCTCCTGTGCTAACCTGAATAACCTGAAAGTCCCAGCTGTTAGGAGGAACCGTGTTACTTTTCTGTTATATCAAGTTTTTGTTTTATGTTTCATTTGTAGTGCAATGATGAGGTACATCTTAAGCTGTTTTCACATATGCATATGAGATTTCAGGACAGTCAGCCCCTTCTTTAAACAAAGTCTTAAACTTCTACCAAGAGCCCTGCCCACTTTGGATCAATGATGCAATGTTGTGGAGAAAAAGAAGATGAAAAGGGAAGAGGTAACAGTACCTGCCTCAGAGGAGGCTTTCGACTTGTCTCCGTTGTGCTGGTCCAGAGTGAGGAGACTACAAGAAGCCCGACGCACATCCCACACTTTCACTTGGCTGTCTGCACTTCGAGGGAAAATGAGTAGAGTTACAATAGTTTTACACTCTCCCATAAATGTTTTACAAATAACACTAAGAATGGTCATTCAATTTTGTATCTCGGGGGTTTATACGTACGACTTTGGCTTAAAATTGTGAGTTTGATAAACACCATTCGTTTTTGAAGGTCAGTTTTCTGTTGGGAATTTTAAATGCTCCTCCGTCATAGCTTAACATTGACTTCTCTCAGTGCCTCTCTGTGCCTGTTGTTTTCAAAATCACTTACAGTCCGCAGGGACAGCGGCACATCGATCCCACTTGGTTAATTAGCAGGTCTAATGTAGCATAAAGCAGGTTGGGGACTATATCTGCCATATGCTGTACTGATAGGGCTACTACAGTGCCTTTTCGATAGCAATCTGGTGTTGCTACCCCCCCCCTCCCCCTTCTATCTTGGCCATATTCCTGATGGACTGAGTAAACATGATGCCTACCTTTTAAAGCTCTTACTGGCATCAAGCAAAGAGGCCTTTTCAAAGTGATGACTTCAGCTGCTGGCCCTTTTCTTATCAATACTGTTAAACAATGACATCTTTTAGAACAGATGACCTACTTCATACGGCACCAAAAAGACCTGGGGGTGGAGTGTTATATTGATTCAGCCAGTGAAACAGACTTTTAATGATTAATGTATGCATCACGTGCAGTATCTAGCTTGAATAAGGTACATGTTTTGTACAGATAGCTCCCTGACCTCATGAACACCATAGACTGTAACTATTAATGGATGAAGCCTGAGTGACGTCAGCCATCTGTTACAGCAGGGAGATCCGGAGGTTCATCCTCAGCAGCCGCCATGCTGGAAGTCCTGTCTCAGCCTAACTTTCATTCAACCTAACGACAAGCTTAGAGCCGGAGCGGGTTTTAAGCCTTACAACAAACCATTACACTGCACCCACCTGTCAATCATGTCAGCTACACGCCTTACAATCGATAACACTTATCGTTCATAAAATCAAAATGGAGCTATTTTAAATAAAATCCCCCTCCCCATAGTGTTTGCCCATGATTACAATAACTAATTATACATATTTTGTTTTTGTACCAGGTTGTAAAACATTTTTTTAGCTGTGGTGTGTATGTGACTTCAGGGGCTCTCGGTGGCTGGCCTCAAGTGGACACTCAACGAACTGCAGGATTTTGCACTTCCGCATTGGCTTAATTTTTCAAGACTGGAGGTTGCCGCTTGATGAACATGTCTTTCTTTTGTATATAGCTTCTTTTATTTTCTGTCCGTTTATTACTTGTTCTATTAACACGTTCTAAAAACTCTGTCAATAAAGTTGATCTTCACACTACAAGTGTTGCCTTACTTTTGTGACCTCTCCAAGCCGATCACTCTTCATGCACCTTGTTGGTGAAGTCAGTTCGAAAACCCCACTCTGCTTCTTCTTTCAGAGTTTATTATTGGTTCATGATTTTTCTATTGTAAACACTTATACATAAAAAGTGAAATAATGAATGAAATACTGTCAGCTAACAGAGCCTACCTGGCAGAAGCTAAGATGTGCTCGTATCTGGGCGACCACCGCACAGACAGCACCTCTGCCCTGTGACCTAAAAGGACAAAAGTTATTGTTTATGTGAGAAACAGGCTGCCATTAGGTTGTTCATAAAAACCCTAAAAAAAGGATCACAAGGATAACTTAAAAGCTGAATATCCCATGATTCATCTAATCAATGTGCAATATTACATTCCAGCTAATCAACAGTTACAAATATGGGAGTGTAATCTGCTACGATGAGTGTTTAAGGGAGAGGTGCTTCCAAAATGATACTAGTGTTCCAGGTTTCACAGATAAGGTGTGGTAATCAGACAGATCACTGATACAAACTCCTTATTAACACCAGCATGTATACATGACAGGAGGGCAGGGTGAGCGCTGCTGACATTAAACAGAACAACAACAAAAAAGATGGTTGTCATTCAAATCTTAGAAGCCAAAGTCGCCCAGATGAATGAGCTACTTGTGCTTTTCAAGGACAGACTCCCTTTAAAGCATCTCTCTGGGTGGAATGGTCCACTCCAAGGCTGTTTAAAAACCAGTTTGACAAGCATTTGTGACACGACTGAGAGGGAAAGACAAAAAAACACACACACTAGGGTTGTCTGTAGCTTAGCAAAAGGCGTGTCAGAGAGACTGCGTGCGCACCTTTGTGTGCATTTATGAGCACTCAGCAGGCATGAGTAACCTGTCGGTCCTGCCTGGTGACGCACCTAGATTCCTTCTCTTTTTGTTTTTTTCCTCCAAAAGAAATCTGTCTTTGAACCTGAAACCATGTGTTAAAAGCTTCTGTACCACTTCTGTCCCCTGAAGGTACATGTCACTTCATAACCTGTGTTAAAAGCTTTGAGTACAGGGAAGGGGCTTTGTGTGTGGCGTGCTGCAGGGAAACATGTAGTTCAATGCCTGGAGCAACATACTAATGACCGACAGGGTGACTGATGGACTTGTTTTTGGCACATAATGACAGGGGCTGGAACTGTGTCACTAAACTAAGCCAAAAAAAACAAAACCTCTAGCTTTCCAAACAAACACACCTGCAATGAGACTGTGCTTCCTGGCGATGGGGGACAGGTGGTGGTTGTAGACGTTGCCCTCAAACTCAAAGACTTCAGCAGGCTGAGGAATCACAAAGTGAAAGAACAGAAGTGGAGACAGACAAAGAGAGAGGGTCAGGGTCAGTCAGCTAGTTAAGTCAATCAGCTACCTGCATGGTCAGTGCCACATTCAAGCCATTATCACAGGGTGTGCATCAAATATACATGCATGGCCTCAAACAGAACCCTTGAGAATAAGTTTTACTCGAGTACAAATTCACAACAGAGCAGGGAACAAGGTCAGAGAAGGGGTAAGGTAAAAAAAAAAAAAAAAAGATTGCAAGTAGAGATGGAGGGCAATGCAGCTCAGAGGTCAGAAGGCAGATCACCCCAAGCAGCAGCAGCAGCAGCAGCAGCAGCAGCAGCAGCAGCGGTCACAATGCAAATTCTTCAGCAAATATAAAAAGCCTCTCTGTGCCCCATCTGTCAGTGTGTGCCAGCACCGGCATAGACTCAGCCAATGGGCACACACACGCACACACACGCACACACACGCACACACACGCACACAGATACAGACACACACCAGACACACACAAGGCTCTGTTTGCACAACAGCACCACACATACAAACACACTATGTGCACTACATTGCAAAGCACACAATAAAGTGCAAATACATGACCACAATAAATAATTTAATGGTTCTGTGTGTGTGTGTGTGTTGTGTGTTGGTGTGGGAACCAGAGAAAGAAACACATAGACTGAGACAAACAAAAGGTCGGCTGATTCCTTTCTGTCCCTTCCCTGACCTTTCGAGGTAACCGTGGTGCCAGTGTAACTCTAGCACAGCCCAGGGCCTGCCATATGGGACTTTGTGGCACGGAAAGGTAAGGACGCATGAAGCAGAAAATAGAGAAAAAGAGAGCGGAAGAGACAGAGCAGAGGGCAAAAGTCTGTCGGGGACTTTCATTACCTTCAACGTTTCTGTGTCCCACACTTTCATGGTCTTGTCAAAGGAACTGGAGATGAACATGCCCGTGTCATACGGATACCACTGGACCGTCTCCACACTGAATTTGTGCACATGCCGACTCGACCTTTATTGAAAAGACAAAGGGAAACATTTGCTCAGAAAGCCACACCGATTCTTTGAGTCCCTCTTCAAACACACAGCACATAAAAACCGTGTAAGCTATCATACTCAATGTAAAAACAAAGCTATATTAGCACTACACAGCCTTATGCAACATTCTCCTGCAGTTTGGTTCATTCATGTGGATTTGAAATTTGATGTTTCAAAGTCAGTATACATTTTGATATGTCAGTGTAGACTGAGGTAACATCCCAGTTATAGCCATCTGCAAGAACATCAGAGCAATGTGTTCAAGTCTTCAAAGACGATATGGCAGGATGTTTCTGTTCACACCAACATTTAAAGACGACCTGAGGGGAGAAACACATACACTCTTGTATGTAGAGTATGTAGCCTAATTGGACATGTCAGTGAACAAGACTTGAAACACTTTGGTGGTGTGAGAGTTTTATGCAATGGCGCCCTCTCATGGACAAAGAGGGTAAAGGGAGTTACACTAACCTGCCTACTGTGCTAACCGCCTTGCAGGTGTACTGCTGCTTCCCGCCAAAGTTCTCCAGGTCATAGATTACGATCACACCGTCCGCTCCGCCAGACAACATGCTAAACAACACAGACAGTTAAACATGTTTGTGTGTGTGCTCCAAAAATCATCTGTTGAAATGAAGTATTATGTCTTTAAAGATTTCTGTAGTGTAGTAATTTGGCATTCAGTAACAGTAACGTAGTCATGAGTGGACCTACTATCTGCCTTCTACTGCTTCAATATCAATGGTGTTGATGCCATTTCCATGGATTCTGTCCACGTCTCTGTCAGGATTCAACTTCAGACTGAGGACCCTTTAAGACACACAGACAGACAGAAGATCTTTACATCACTGGGGGACTTTATTTTTCATATTATCAAAAGATAAAAGGTAAAAAAAAAAAAAAGAAATGGAATACAACAACAAACCCTTGTGTAGTAAATTAGATACATAATGGAAATATGACAAATTAATCAGTTAATGGATCCAAAGATGATTAACTGTAGGCAAATTATGGAATTGGTATATCATGCAAGTAAACTGAACAAAACATAAAAAGAGAAATAAAATAATAAGAGAAATAAGACAAGTGTTGTGTTTATATTTAAAATCAATATTCATTTCTCAATTTTTTCCCCGAGTTGAAATCAAAGATCCAAGATTGTTTTATGTAGGTGAACCTTAGGTTGGTCACAATAAAAGGCCACTTGAAAATGTGCAGTCTTATCACACAGCACATTGCCACAGATGCCCCAAGGTTTGAGGGAGCGTGCAATTGGCATACTGACTGCAGGAATGTCCAGCAGAGCAAAGAGGGGAACGTTCATTTCTCTATCATAAGCCGTCTCCAAAGTCGTTTCAGAGAATTTGGCAGAACATCCGACCAGCCTCACAAGCGCAGACCACGTGTAACCACACCAGATCAGGACCTCCACATCCGGCATTTTCACCTGCAACATCGTCCGAGACGAGCCACCCAGACGGCTGATGAAACAATTAGTTTGCATAACCAAACAATCTCTGCACATACTGTCAGAAACCATCTCAGGGAAGCTCATCATGCATGCTCATCGTCCTCACCGGGGTCTTGACCTTACTGCAGTTCATCGTCCTTGTTCATTGAGTTGGCAATTTGCTCACCTTTCATAAAGGTCTGGCACTTTGGAGAAGGGTTCTTTTCACGGATTAATCACCATGCACTGTACCAGGCAGCATCATGCATGCTCATCGTCCTCACCGGGGTCTTGACCTTACTGCAGTTCATCGTCCTTGTTCATTGAGTTGGCAATTTGCTCACCTTTCATAAGGTCTGGCACTTTGGAGAAGGGTTCTTTTCACGGATTAATCACCATGCTCACTGTACCAGGCAGATGGCAGATGGCAGATTGTATGGGTGAGCAGTTTTCTGATGTCAGCGTTGTCAATAGAGTGGCCCATGGTGGCCGCGGGGTTATGGTATGGTCAGACATATGCAAACACAGGTGCATTTTAATGACGGCCTTTCAAATGCATAGAGATACCATGGCCAGATCCTGAGGCCCATTGTTGTGCCAATCATCCATCACCTCATGTTGCAGAATGATAACGCACAGCCTCACGTTGCAAGGATCTGTACCCAAGATGAAAACATCCCATTTCTTGCATGGTCCGGACATGTCACACGATGAGCATGTTTGGGATGCTCAGGATCGGCATAAGCGACAGCTTGTTCAAGTTCCTGCCAATATCCTGCAACTTTGCAACGACTTTCCACAGTACTATCTGAACAACCTGAACAACTACACTGCCTGGCCCAAAAAAAAAGTCGCCACCAAAAAAAAAAAAAAAAAGATCACACACTCGTTGGACCGCCTTTAGCTTTGATTACGGCACGCATTCGCTGTGGTATTGTTTCGATAAGCTTAGACTTAGACTTAGACTTAGACTTAGACTTTCTTTATTGTCATTCAAACTTGTACTTTACAGTGCAGATAAGAACGAAATTTCGTTGCATTTGGCCCGTTGTTGTGCAGGATAAAAACAGCAGCATGTATTTACATATAAAAAATAAAAATAAGGTGCAGATATAAATAGATATAAAAAGAAAAACTATGAGTAATGTCACAAGATTTATTTCCGTCCAGTGTTGCATTCATTTTCCACCAATAAATTGTATTGATGAATGGAGAGTCGGCCCACTGCGCAAAGTCTTCTCCAGGACATCCCAAAGATTCTCAACGGGGTTAAGGTCTGGACTCTGTGGTGGACAATCCATGTGTGAAAATGATGTCTCATGCACCCCTGAAGCACTCTTTCACAATTTGAGCCCGATGAATCCTGGCATTGTCATCTTGGAATATGCCCGTGCCATCAGGGAAGAAAACAATCCATTGATGGAATAACCTGGTCATTCAGTATATTCAGGTAGTCAGCAGGCACATAATGTTGCTCCGTTCACTCTCACCGTGTCTGCAGCTAACTTAACGATAGCAACGTCATAAGTGTGTGAACATCTCCACACAGACTCTGTGAAACAGCGCTGTGTTACAAACACTTAAGATATGCTAGCGGATGCTATGGTATTTTTTTCTAGGCTGCGTAAACATAGTGAAATGAAAATGACAGATATGACAAAGGAGACACCAGACACAGTGTTGGTGGTCAGAGCGTCAGAGGAACGTTTAGCAGGTCAATAGTGTGTGACTGTTGAAATGACGAGAGTAAAACTAACATCTGTCTCTGTCCTTGCAGAGAGCAACACAAACACTGCACACAGCGTCATCTCATCTCCGGAAAACAAAGATACATCGGCTGTTTAGCGCTCAACTTTTCTCTTCCATCACGTGCAGCAGGAGAAGTCAGAGATATACACACGTCCACTAACGAGCAGGCTGACTATATTAAGTTTCTAATATTGTCAAAGCTAAATCAGGAGAAAACTTGTTTTGAGGATGAATCATTTATTTTTCTCTGATGGATTTTTGTTTTTAGTCTGTAATGTTGTAATGCAGGGGCGGTTCAGAGGGGAGCGGGGGGAGGGGGGGTCTGGGAACTACTGCCTACAAATAATACAAAAAACAAAGGCCAGCAAATATGTTTTTTTTTTTTCACAATTTCTCAATTTCCTGATCTGATAACATGATCGAATCTGTGACTTAAATTTGTAATTGATTAAACAGAACATAATGCCTTCTCAATTAAATGTACTGTAACAGACGTGTATAGGACACAAAAACACAATTTGTTATTTTGGCCGGTAAAAAAATATGTCTGGTCGGTGAATTTTTTCATCTACCTGCCACCTTGGCCGGTGAGTCAAAAAGTTAATTTCGGACCCTGGGTGCATCACTTCATCTGCCTCTCTTCTTACCCTGATCACTCTGGAACAGGGTAAATCTTCCTTCCAGTTTTTAATAATGCATTGGACAGTTCCTAACCCAATTTTAGTAGTTTCTGAAATCTCCTTGAGATGTTTTCTCTGCTTGATGCATGCCAATGATCTGAACCTTCTCAAACAGACTTAACATCTTTTCCACGACCACAGGATGGGTCTTTCAACATAGTAGTTTAAGAAATGAGAAGCTACTCATTGCATCAGTTGGGGTTAAATAACTTGTTGCCAGCTGAAAGATAATCGCCCATGCAGTTATTATCCAATGGGAGGCTCTTACCTATTTGTTTAGTTAAATCCAGGTGGCGACTTTTTTTTTAAAAAATGTTATGGACAGGCAGTGTATGTGCAAAGGAGATGTGTTGCAGTGTTTGAGACAAATGGTGGCAACACCAGATATCGACAGGCTTTGTGAAGAGGCACTTTGTGTATTGATTGATTGATTGATTGATTAAATTTATTTCAGACATATCAAATAAAATCAAACATATCAAAAATACAAAACAAAACGAAAAAAGCACGAACATACAATAAACAAAAAAACAATGTTCAAATTATTTCACAAAAAAAAGAAAAAGAAAATTACATATTCAATTGATATGCCTGAAAAGGAGTATAAAACTCCTACCCCTTTTCCACAGCTCAATAATTAATATTTATTAAATTAATTTCCTGTGTTCCTTTATAATCTCTCTAGTACATAGAAAGGGGCTTTTATCTTTTTCAACTAGTGAAAAATTGGAGCAAAAACAAAAGTGTTGCGTTAATAATTTTGTTTACAGTGAAAGGCTATCAAATAAACGCGTCTCCAATCTTCATACTTCATACTGTCCACCTCTACAGGGACCTAAACACATCCTAAATACATCCTCAACACATCCTAAACACATCCTAAACACATCCTAAACACGACCTAAACACGTCCTAAACACATCCTAAACACATCCTAAACACATCCTCAACACATCCTCAACACATCCTCAACACAACCTAAACACATCCTCAACACAACCTAAACACACCTAAACACATCCTAACACATCCTCAAACACCTAAACAACCTAAACACACCTAACACAACCTAAACACACCTAAACACATCCTAAACACATCCTAAACACATCCTCACACAACCTAACACGACCTAAACACATCCTCAACACAACCTAAACACAACCTAAACACATCCTAAACACATCCTAAACACAACCTAAACACAACCTAAACACAACCTAAACACATCCTCAACACGACCTAAACACAACCTAAACACATCCTAAACACAACCTAAACACATCCTCAACACGACCTAAACACAACCTAAACACATCCTAAACACATCCTAAACACATCCTAAACACATCCTAAACACAACCTAAACACAACCTAAACACAACCTAAACACATCCTAAACACATCCTAAACACAACCTAAACACAACCTAAACACAACCTAAACACAACCTAAACACATCCTAAACACATCCTAAACACATCCTCAACACATCCTAATATAAAGGTACATTGTGTGACATAAACACAACTCTTTGTCTGTCCATTAAAACATCCCTTCTCACCTTCTTGTTGACTCGACACGTCTCAGACGCAGAGGATCATCCACACCAGCTTGTCGAGCCGTCAGAAATCCCAACATTGTTTCGATTTGAAGGATATTTCTCTTATTTCAAGAGGAAGGCGAGAAGGTGCTCTGTGCTCCTGGCAGCAGCCCTGGCATGTTGTTTTCACTGGAATATGTTTTTAATGAAGTCGAATCGAGTCGAAACGGGCATGCTGGTGTTCATAACTTCCGTATTAGCAATATTTGTTAGTTAAAAGTAAACACGGTTGCTTTCCTCTGATGTCCAGCGTTTATTTAACCATGATTTCAACTAACTTCGGAGCGAGCTTCACACAATGGGCAACCATGTTGGGAAGTGACGTCATTTCAACCACGAATGCGCTGATTGGCCGGTCAAGTTTAATCCTCCAATCACAAAACAGTTTATTGACTCTACTTCCCCACAACACATCAACAGTTTCATAAACAACCCAGCGAGAGGACAGACAGATAAAGCAAAAGCGGGGTGGACACGCAAAACAGACCCCCCCCCAAAAAAAACACATCCTCCTGGTTGCCCTGGAAACACCATGAGCAGGATTGTCGGAGCCCTGCGGCGCACGTTTGGGATAGTACGTGACCACGTCGGCACAGATACTCTGGGGAATAAATATTACATCATCCCAGAGCAGAAAACATGGACAGGTAAGTGAATCCTCTTGAATTCATCTCAGTCCGCATGCCTTAAACAGTAAACAGTAAAGATAGCTTTTAAAACTGCGTTAAAGCTCATTCTGTCCCGAACAACCAAATGTTTGTAGAAGCTGTGACTCATATCACCATGACAACGTTATCTTACGGTCCCATTCGTGTTTAAAGGGCAACATGCATCATCTCTGATTACTCAACATATCTGTAGATGTTGTCATAAAGCTGATTTCTTCTGGAAATACCACATTGCTATGAATTTGACTTTCCTTTACCCTTGCAGTGTATTAATCCTACCACTAGATGGCGCACCAAGCTCAATAGGAACATTCCCTTTTAATCTGTAAAACAATTCACATCCTCTTTTAATAATATAGGTGCTGTTATGACAGCTCCAGCAGCCTTTCAAGACTAGAGAGTACTCCACTGTTACGTGTCTGTGATAAGGATTTTAGAAAGAGGTCATATAGCTCTACTGAGACATGGCAGCGCCACAGAGTGTTAGTCCTCAAGCCAAGCAGTAGACCTGTGTCATCAGGCTAATCCGTGGTTGGATGCCAATGATGTCCTTCACACTGTCACAGACTGTTCCCACGCCAAGGATGTGCTCCTCAAGATTAAATGCTAGGGCTTAATAAAAAAAAACTCTGCTGCACTAGTCGGCCCTACAAAGGCAAAAGACCTTAACTCGCCAGAGTGTAGAACTGAGATAACTGACTTTAAAGTCTTTTTGTTGTCCAGCCAAATGAGTTGCAGGCAGAATATTGGAAATGTGGCAATTCTTTGTCTTTTTAATCAGGTTATTAATGTACATACAAATCTTGAGGTCAAACATGACCTTTGACCCTTTATTTGGAAGTTAAGGTACTCCGCCGTTGCGTTGCCTGTACAATAATAAGGCGTCATGCCGAGGCAAAAGGCTGTAACTTCCATTTGATCGCTCCCGTGGTTGCTGATCACTATATTAAATCAGTATATGATAATAATGATAACATATACATGTTACAATGGCACAATTAAGTGCTTGATGACAGATAGTAAAGCAAAGGCATAACACCTTAACTCCACGGCAGTGAAACAGTAACTTCACTTTGATCGCAGCAAAACAAAGGCAGAAGACCTTAACTCAGTTTGAGCATTCCTGAATGCTGCAGTTCAAAGAGCCTGATGAGTGAAGTTACTGGACTCTGCCTTGTTTTCTCGAGGGCTTTTGGAAGTTAAGGCAAATACAACCTACTATTTTCTCAAACAAAACAACACAATTGACTCAAGATATTTGTCCACATGATAAAGCACATCTGTAATTGAAGTTACTGCCTTTTGCCTTTGTATGGCAGTAGTGTTGTCTAATTTATAGGGTGCATAGGACAGGATTGTAACGACTACATTTAGAAATGAGGAATGAGGATTGGTGGAATTCTGGCATTCATGGTTTTTATTAGTTTGAGAAAAAGATAATTCCAGCTTTAGGGAAGTTGTTTTGTAGCAGAAAAATTACACATCAGACTGCAGCAGTGATTTTGTAATCATTTTACAGCCATTATGTTTTTCTAGATTTAATTTAGGACTCTGTGTGCCTTTATTTTTTTAGGGGACAGGAGAGTGGCTATAGTGGGAAATTGGGAGGAGAGAGTGGACGATGATATGCAGGAAAGAGGCTGAGGGTCAGATTTGAACCAGGACTACAGCCCCTGTACATGAGGAGTGCGATAAAACTGCTAGGCCAACCGGCACCCCACAAGAAAAAACACAAACCATAATGTAAAGGATATTGCACCCAAGTCATACCCCATGACCTTTTGATGAGTTACATTACCTATTACTGACCCATTGGAGACTACCATAACCCAAACAGCGTTGCCACCTTAAACAGACCCGGGCTCTGTTTATGCAAGCTTGCAGGTATTGCCAGCATTGATATTACTTCTACTCTAGTAGTTGTAATGTCACAACAACAATGCCACACTGTGGAAATTTCCAGTGATTATGTGTCCCACCCTGCCGGCACATGAACTTTCTGGCCTGCATTGTCTAAGCGTAGACAGACTCATTGGCATGTCCTCATTTATAAGGCTATACTTAACCTGCTTCCATCACACTTGTGCAATTGTATTCATGTGAAAAGTCCTGGAAGCCACAGTCTTCGCTCTGCAGCCCAGTCACAAAACTTATTGTTGTTCCCAAAGTGTTTTCTTGAAATTTGGGAAAATGAGTTTCAGGTTTGCTGCTCCGGCAGCCTGGAATCTCCTGCAGGATGATCTGTGTCATGGGGGAGCTGGTTTCTTTAAATCTTTTTAAAAGTAGATTGAAGGTGTTGGAGGACGATGCTTCAGGTTGTAGATGCTTAGAGTAATGACATTATGCTCTGTGACTCAAGACATGCTGAATGAAGAATTGGGGTTTCTCCTGGTTAAATACATTTTAAATAATAAAAAAAAAAACTTGTTTCAGGCATAAACACAATGCACAGAGTGTTCAGAAGTCATGGCTTTCCTTGTTTAACTCATTAGCAGAACCTTACTTTCCCCGTTTCTATACCACCATTAATCATCACCTGTTCGGGTCCTTCTCAGACTATATAGGCCATGGGTCAGGTCAGAGGTCAGAGGTCAAAGAGCACAATATCTGACTGTTCCAGACACGATGCTTCTGGTCTACCAGCCTTGAACTGTTGGTTTATAAGTAACTAAGGCTAAGTGTTACACTTAAGGGTTGTCACAGTGACAGAATTTTAAACTGAGATATGATACACAAATATAAAACAATATCAATACCTGTTTCAATGCCACAGCAAAACAAATAGAAGTCCCATGTACCTGATTATGGGTATTTTATTGTTTCTTTATGTGTGTTAAGAATTGGAAGCAAAATCCTGCACCCTGTCTAAACTGCTCATTAAAACACATGGCATCAAAAAGAATCCATCGTATTATACCTTGGGAAATCTTTCAGAATTTCGAGTCCTGAGCAGAGTTTACTCCCATCCATGATGCTGCATTTGTCTAATCCTATTAACACACGTGTGTGTTTGTCTCCCTCTCTTGGTTCACTAAGATACAGCTTAGATAAGTCTTTCTCCTAGAATAGGTCTCATAGTTATCATCCAGAGGTACTTTCCCCAGACGCTGTTTTAGTGTTTTGCTGCAGAGGGACCATCTCAGGCTGCTCTCTCTCTCTCTCTCTCTCACTCTCTCTCTCTGATTGAACTTGACTTTGTGCTTCACCTTTTTTTTTTCTCAGCAGTTTGCGAGGAAACTTGCGCCCACCTCATATTTATAATTCATTACAAGGCAGCTCCTCCACCCCTGGCTGTCAGACTATTCAAATGAGACATCACGGAGGCCCATTTTCCAGCACGCTACAGGCTACCACGGTCACTGTCCAATCACAATGACTGACACTGTGGAGAGGCCAGTTGGCCTGCATGTGGAAGAACTGGTTCTGAACAAACGCGCTGATGAACTCCTCACAGGCATTGCACACATTAAGACTCATATAACAAACAGATCGAAATATATGGCACACATATTTGCCTCTTTTCTTTTTGCCACACACCCTGTCCAGCCTTGTGGAAATAAAGCAGATGCATTATTCAGTCCATATGTCTTGCTAAAGCGGGCTCGTTTTGATCTTAAACTGATAGGCCAAGCGTGGGCTCAGGGCCTCAAGGCATGGACCGCAGGGCTTTCCACTGCGGCACATGAGTAGATGTTGAAGTAGGTGAGGAGTCTCTCTCTCTCTCTCTCTTTCTCTACTTTGCCTACTTCTTGTATTCATTTGTCCATCCCTCGTGTTCACTCAATCCCTCTCTACCTTTATCCATGCTTTGCTGCTCCCATTTTCTACCTCTCTCAATCTGTTAACTTTCAAAAAACTGGGGCGTAAGCAATTCTGCGTGCGGTTGGCTATTTATGAAGACGTTAATGGTCGCTAAAACGGAGAAAGAGAAGGAAGCATTTTTTATTTTTTAATTTTTTTTATGGGAAACTGTCCTGTTGGATCTCAACAACTGCCCAGATTTCTCCTTAGGTTGACCTCTTTATTTGCCTCAAGTTAGTCCTCCCCCCCCCTCCTCCTCCTCCTCCTCTTCATTGCTGCCTCTTGATTTTCCTCCTTTGAAGCCAGGCCAGTGAAGATTTCTATTCACAACACTCGAGTATAGTTCAGCAGTGCGGAGGGCTAGACCCAGCAGAGAGCTCTCTATCCCCCTCTTCTCAGATGTTTCTGCACATCAAAACAGGGGGGAAAAAAAAGGGGCCAGAGTCTGAAGTACACGCCTAGAGAGGGAGAGTTTCTGTCTCTGGTTTTAGAAAAGGTCCAGCTAAAGAGGGCCTAGTGTATGCTGCTTCCCCATAGAGAGAACTCTGCTATAGGCTGTGGAGGCCCAGTGATTGTTGTCTGTGGCTGGACTACAAGAGAAAGCCACTGGCAATCTGGCCACTGGTCTTTAGAAGGTCCATAGAGCTGAATAGAGAATCTATACTCTCCTCTCTTTCTGTGTGCGTCTGTCCCCCAGGCCCCGGCTCTGCCTCACGCTGCATGGGGCGCCGTGTCATGCTGCCCGGATGAAAGCAAAGCATTCTGCGGATGGGCTCATTCGTCTTCGGCAGCGGGCCTGCAGCTTTGACGCCTGCCTTCCCTCCCTTTATTTAGGAAGAGAGGCGCGCTGACATTATCGGCCGCTGCAGGCACATTTGAAAATAATTGCCTGTATGATTGCTATTTTTCTTACCTCTTTGAGGAGGTGTTGCCTTTGTCTTGGAATCAATGGCTGCTCAATACTGGACAGGGGAAAGGCAGTTTCCTTTCATGTCTCGCTTAAAAGGATGTATTTTTAGCGCTATTCATTTTAGCAGTGTGTGCCATGCAGTTTTAATCTATTGGTCCTCTCTGCTGCGTGGAGAATGGAAGGGATTCAGAGGGTCTTCAGAGGTGCGCCACACTGTTGCAGGGAAAAGATGCATTGACTTGTCGTCCTATCACTATCCCTCTCTCTC